CTGCCTCTACCCCGACAAAAAGTCCGAGACCGTGAGTGCCTCGGGGCGTCGGGGGGAGGCGGAGGGGGCTCTGGATGCATCCCAGCCCCCCCAGCACCCAGGAAGGGCTGTTCCCCCTCCCTGCCCCCAACACACGCACCCGGCTTTGTCCTTCCTTCGAACAACATTTATTGAGCATCTAGTGTGTGCCAAGTGCTGGGGCCTCAGCAGAGAATTAAAACACCACCACCTGAGCTTTATGGGGCTTGCCTCCTACGAGGAAGACAGGCACTGAAAGCTAGTACAGAAATCAGGAATGCTGGCCAACCTTCAGCGCTCTGACAACTTAGATGCACTAACTTACAGAGCCCTAACCACCAGCTGTGCTAGGTCTGTCATCATCCCCCAGATAAGGACACCGAGGCCCAGAGAGGTGACCAGATTACCTATGACAGTCTGGCTCGAGTCCCAGCCCCTAACCACCAGGCTACCCGCCTCCTGACCTGCTATCTTATAGGCCCGGTGGGCTCGCTGCCCTCCAGGCTGCAGGCTGAGAGGGGAGATCTCCTGGTCCCCCCGAAATCCTGGGCATCTCCACCAGGGAGCCCTGAGCCTAACAGCCTCGCACACCAAGCCCCAGGCTTAGCAGTGGAGGGCAGGGGGCGAGCAGCACCAGCTCTGGACCAGGGGATTGAGATTCGAGTCTGTCACCTCAGTGTTTTAATCTGTAAAATGGGGCTCAAGCAATTATCTACCCCATAGGGAGGTTGTGCAATCGCAGTACCAATGCACATATCAGGAAATACTGATGAAACACCGACTACGTGCTAATATATCTACCACAGGTAAACACGCAGCCAGCACAGGGCCTACGAAAGTGCATAATCATGGCTTTTTCTTTTGAATCATGCTCTTTTTCTGACACATTATTATTTTTAACTGATCAGAGCCCCAGGTTAGTGGCATTCAGACCTCCAATGTGTGGGGGCTGGAGTGCTGACATCTGCAGCCTGACCCCTCACCAGCTCGCTTCCTCCTGCTCAGAGAGAAGCTGGAGAGGGGAGTGAGGAGGGGTCTTGGTTTGGGTTCCCCACATTTTGGGCAGGTCATTTATTTAAGAGGCAATCCCAGGAGGCAGCAGAAGGGGAGAGGGGGATGTGAGAGGGGTCATGGGAGGCAACTAGTATTGTTAAAATGTCACCATTGGGCACCCAAGGCTCGGTTCCACTGAGGACTTCTGGGAAACCGGGGGTGGGGTGGGGGGGGCGCCTGGAAGTTGTCCATCCTGTGCAAGCTGCCCACCTCTCGGCCGTCTCAGGTGAGGGCTGCCTGGGAGCGGGGCCCTCCCCTTGGGCCTGCCCTGTGCACCAGCCAAGCCCTCTCCCATGGCCAGACAACAGCCCCACAGTCCCGGGTACTTAAGGCCTGCAGCCTTCACTGATGGGAGGGAAATGCAGAAAGGACTTGTGGGCACCTGCTCCTGACCCTCCCTCCCCCCCCAGGTGAAACTGGCCTCCTGGTCCAGGGAAAAGCCGGGAAGCTGGTATAGCACGTTCCGTAGAGGGAGGAAGGTGAGTTGCTGAAGGCCGAGGTGGCAGGTGGTATGAAAAGTCACAAGAACCAGTGTGGGGAGCTGGGAGAGGGGCTCTGAGGGTGAGAGGGAAGGACAGACCCGCCTCTGCCTTGTTGGTGACTTGCAGGCTGGTGGGGGGGGGTGAGTGGGGCAGCGTCGGATCTGTGATGGGGAAGCATGGGGCATGGCGGAAACCCAGAGGCAGTGCTGAGAGGACCTGAGGCTCCCTGCGAGCAGTCACAGCTCAGCTGAGGCCTAAAGAATGAGTTAGCAAGTTCAGGAGGACAAGAAGGATTGTGGCAGGGAATAGCATGTGCAAAGGCCCAGAGTCAAGGGAGGGTCTGGTGAATTTAAAGAGGAAAAAGCCACTTGCTCTGCTTTAGAGACTGCGTGTGAGGGGCAATGTGGTTAGAGAAGAGGCTGGGAGGTAGATGAGGGCTAGGCCCCTCTCCCCAGAAAGACCTGTGGGCAGTAGGGAGCCATTGGATGTGTTTAAGTGAGGGAGGAGCTCAGATCAAAGCTCTGTGTTAGAAAAATGCCTCTGGGGCTGGTAGTGGTGTTGGTGAGACTCGAGGCTGGGAGACCTGGAAGAGAGGGATGCATTGACCCAGGCGAGTGAGGAGGGGGTCCAGGCTGATGCTGGTGCCACGGGGCAGAGAGGAGGACATGACTTGGAACAGTATCAAAGAGGGCAAGTTAATAGGACCCAGTAATGGATGCACTGCAGGGGAGGGAGGAGACAGGTACGATGCCCAGTTCCTGCCTTGGGGAACATGATGGCCGGTGAGGTTCCGGGATTTGTAAAGATGAGGTTTAAGGGGCATTTCTTGACTTGGTGAAGTTGATATTGTACTGGCCATATAACCAAGGGAACAGACGGACCAAGGAAACAAAGCTGTAGAGTGATGTAAGGGGGTATCTTGGTTTGGATTCCCCCCAAACAGGCCCCGAGACAAAGATTCAATTGCAAGCAGTCTATCTAGGAGGTGATCCCAGAAAATATCGGTTGGGGGTGCGGAAATGAGCCAGGAGAGAGAAGGAAGTGAAGGATGCGCTGCCCAGCGCAGTCTCAAGCCAGTGATGTGCTAATCACACACTTTATTAACCCAGCATATCCAAAATATTGGCACAGCAATATAAAGATTATGGAGGCAGTTCACTTTTTTTTTCATACAAGTTCTTCAGAGTCTGGTGCATATTTTACACTCACGGGACACTGTAATCTGGAAGCTAAATGTCACTGAAAATGCTTGATCTGTAGTTGGATTTCACAAGACCTGCAGCGGGAATAGAAGAGCCCCTTCTCAGTGGGTTCCAAACCTAAGCTTTCTGATAACCGGGTGGGGGCTCGGTTAAGAGTTATGAATTTAAGTGAAGAATTTGAATGAAATCATTAAATAAAACATGAACATTACACAAGTACGGTTAAGAAAGAAAAAGAAACTTTCTCAGTCTCCCGAGGCACATTTTAAGCGCTGGGTAGCTCAGGTGCGGAAGGGCGCCCCGGGGCGCCCACCCTGCGCCTTGTCCCCCCAGTTCTCCTACGTGGACGCGGACGGGGCGCCGGTGAGCGTGGTGCAGCTGACCTTCCTGAAGCTGCTGAGCGCCACCGCCCGCCAGAGCT